CTTGCCCATAAGCATGTCTGTCCTCTTATTCAGTTGTCGCAGCTGCAGCCCATGAAGAGGATCAAGGCTCTGTCCTCCCGAGTAGACCACACCTCTCCCTTATCCTCTCCTCCCTGCGTGCCCTAGGATGGAGAGATGGGCCTGGGTCCTCCTCTGACCGCCCAGCCGGCCTCTGCCCTTCCCCAGCCTCCTCCACAACCTCCGGAGCCACACTCCCACTCCCTGTCGGCTGTCAGCCTCCACCAGGGGCATGACAGTCTTTTTCCAAGAAGTGCCATCTGGGGCATCGTTCCTTGAGATTTTAAAGAGAGGAACCCTTCATATATACAAGTAGTCCTCTAATTATAACCCTAATGGAGCTTTCTAAGCTGTGTTGGAAAGTGCATCATTGATAGATCAGCTTTTAACAACTCTTCCATTATGGTCGTTATGTGAATCACTTTTATCCTTAAAGAAATCCAGAGTTCACAATGGGCATATTTTACTGGAAACCAGAAGTAAACATCCGGTTCAATCAAAAACTCGTAAATTGTGGTTGCGTGATTATGGGATGCTGCCAATGGCTGGAAATATGCGGTTGCCAATAGCAACAGCACTTAAGATTTACATACCAGTCTGCTGTCTTTTATGAATACTCTGGGTACACATCATTACGTCAGCATATTGTCCCCCCTCCCACAATCTGGGTCCTCATTTTACTGACCTCGGAAAGATGGAAGGCAGAGTCAACCCACCAAGCATCCCAATGTGCAGTCATGTGACCCAAGGGCCCTGGTGTCGGAACTTCAGAACCTGGTCACAAATCAAGGACTGCCTGTAATTGTCAGACAATCACATTCTGTAAACCCCAAGACCACGTTTGTTTAAACCTGTTGAGCTTCTGGCTTTTATGTCCTCGACCCAACATTTGTAGAACTTGAATCTGAAAAAAACTCAGTCATTTCCTGGACTTGACCTTCCATTTCCTTCTCCGGGAGGGCAGCAAGGGGGGGTGACAGCAGGCATCATAAGGGCATTGTAGTCCTGAGTAACCATGAATCGGTCCTCTGGGATTAAACACCCCATGACACTTCATGTGCTGACCCAGGCTGAACAGAACCACGAAACAGACTCCTTTGTCCCGAAAAACCCCTTTTTATTTGGTTAATGTGAATTCCTGGCATTCGTATCCAGAAAAGTCCCGGCAATAATCTTTCCCAAGTTTAAGTGCAAGAACAGACCTTATCAATCCTTGAATAGTTGCCAGGCCGAGAGCTTTCCGGTTCTAACGCTGTAAAAGGAAACACTTGGCAAGGAGTCTCTGTGAGGCACAAACTCAGATAACCAAATCTTCACACTACTTAAACGAAGTAATTGTCTCCTGCAAACACCCCTCCCCTTTTTGCTCCTATTTATTCCCTATGGGAGGGGCCATTCAGCATCCACTTGTGCCTTCTGAGTCGACCCCTGTTCCTTAGTTGTTCCCTTCTGACAGCTCTGTGCATCTGGAACAGGCTCCAGCTGTTCTTCCTCACTTATTTCCGACTCCGAAGGCATCTGATAAATGGTGGACGGCCCTGGCCCCATTTCTGCCTTCCCCAGACTCCAGGACTAGCCCAAGTTCCTCCCCAACCTTCTCACTGTCCGAGTCTGCCACCAGCTCTACTGGCAGCTGTTGGGCCACAACACTTTGCTAGGGTTGACTTCTCAGTTTTATTTAGGTTTTTAACCCTTCTTGGGTGGATCTGCACACTGCTTCAAAGCCTACGGGAATTTGCTGGCCCAGCAGTTAAATAAAACAAAATAAATGTATAATTGTAGGCAAGCTAGTTGAAATTCATTCCTTTTAGATGGCCTGGCCGAAAGGTGGACTTGTGTGTGTGTGTGTGTGTGTGTGTGTGTGTGTGTAGAGCAAGGGAAAGAGCACACTGCCCTAAATTCAAACACAGTTGGACAGGGCAACCTTTGCATACATACATATTGTGCGTGTGTGTATGTATAGAGAGAGGGAGGGAGAGAGCACACTGCCCTTTAGACAGACAGACGGGAACCTTTATATACAAGTGTGTGTGTGTGTGTGTAATAGCTTTTAAAGTAGTGCTAAAAAAGCATTAAAAAACCCCTACAAATATAAAAATACAGCGGCAAAGAAAACACATAGAAAGTGCTTTTAAAAAAACAGAAACGAAAAGGATAATGCGGAGTCTGCAAGAGTCTACTCGGGGCTTGGGACCGTGGCAAAATTTGGAGCCGAGATCATTCACACCGATCCTAAAGCTGCAGACGGTTAAATGCATAATAAACCAGCCGAGATCTTGAAACGGCTTATAAAGACGAGAAATATGCAATGGCGTAAAAGACACCGATTCCTCCTCTTGGAACCCTGTGTAAAAAAAGGTCTTCCCGTGAAAAGAAAAACTACCAAATCCATGGCAAGCAAATCATGAATGAATTTTATTTACAGTGGCGTCAATATTTTCCCCGGCTTTGCCCTCTTCTAAAGGACCAGCTGTGCCGAGACGCCACATCACTCAGTTCCCTGATGCGAAGGTGTGTAGCTGGAGGGGACTTCTGGCGCCACCGCACATCGGCATAATTACGCTCTTCGCCCTGGTGAATTATTCTTGCAATCAAACCATTGAATTACATTTGGATCCGGGTACTTAATTTCGAGGGCATTGTCAAGAAGGCAGCAAATTCCGAAGCAAAATTTCAGTATAAAACGACACGCATATATTCAAACTCATTCTAACTTAAAATTCATATAGCATTTGCCTCAATCAACATCCTTAAACCCCTTTAACCACCTTCACTTATTAAAGGTATTTAGTCACATTTTCTTTGGTATGGTAAGGCAAAAGTTTAAAAAGAAATTAGAGGTGCTCAGTCCATCTACTGGGTTTATATCTATTTTTATGCATTTCTGACACTTGCTAAAATAGTTAGCACCGTTTCCTCTTTTTGCAACCACTTTCTACTGTGGTTTTTTTTTTTTTAACCGTTGAGGAGCATGCGTGACCATTGCATTCTGGGCCCTAAAACATACATGTAGGCTCGAGGTCAAATAGGTAAGTTTCAGATCCTGTTTGGTGGGACTAGTCTGCAATCTCCATGACCAAATGGCACCTCACATTGGAATTACTCGGCGTAGTAGCAAGGATGGGCTACTGAACCGAAGTCAAAATAATGCCTGTCTAGACATCATCCTCGGTGGCCTCAGCGACTGGCTCCCAACTCTGGCTGAATCGTGCTCTCACTGTGACCACTAGCGCGTTCTACTTCTGCCCCCTAAATCTTCTATCTTAAAATCCCGAGAAGAATCAAGACAACCTATGGTGTATCTCATGACAATGATGCTTCAAGGCCCACCAGGTTGGAGGATAACCGGCTCCGTTCCCTCTGCTCCACAGTTACTATTTCTTTCAATACTCTTTACTGCTGATCTTTGAAACTGCAGAGCCAGGGCCTGAAAGCATGTCGGGAGAATCTTCTACTACCTGCCGAATTCAAAAATCTTGTGTAGTTGCTGTTGTAACAACTGTAGAACTCATCGGCAGGGTTCAGGAAACCCGTCCAGCGAATGTCCACCCCGGTGCAAATATTTAGCGGAGCCAGCGTGAAGATTTCAGGTAGAAAGGTTGCCTTTATTCCACCTGCAGGCTTTCAAGTCATCCCTTCTCCACCTTTTGTCCCTCAAATTCCAAATGAGTAGGCCTTTAGTTTCGTGGTGGGTGTCTCAGTGGACTGACAGCAGCTAATGGGGCAGCTGAAGTATTAATGTAGAATTTTTGTTAAGTGGGGAAGTGGGATGATGCAGCCGCCTTTGTCCAAACACCGAAGTTTGCTCACAAC